CCCCCCCCCCCCCCCCCCCCCCCCCCACCCCGATTTATACTTAAGCAAAAGGGTACATACCTTACTTTAACGGATTACATTATACATAATTTAACAAAAAGGCAAATCATTAAGTACCCCAAGTATCGTAGCTGATTTCTGGTGGTACACTGTAATATCCAGGCTGAAGTGCATCCACCCACCGTTCTCGTTGAGATCTAAACATGAAATTAAATTATTATTTTTAAAATGCATATCAGTATAATATTAGTGAATAATTCACAAAACTCAGACTATAATGACAATTAGCCAAATGTACAAAAATCTACGATGTCGAGAGAGAGAGAGATAAAGCTTCCTGATTAAGCCGTAATAGAATGATTGAAAGAATTGTATCGAGATTATTTAACCAAATTAAGTCCAATATTTGCAATAGCAGATATTTTTGCTTTCATCACATTTTATAGTAGTCCAAATGTCAGAAAAGGAGCTTGTATTTCTTTAAAGTTATTCATAAAATGAGTTATCTTCTTAATTTAGTATTTGGAATCTTATTTAAAATGGTTAATATCATTAGATAAGCTTACTGGCTCTGCAATAAGCAAAACTTAATTAAAACTGAAGTAAATTTGCGACCTGTTTCATAGTGGGCTCCACACCTTCCTATCAATAACTCACTTACCAGTCTTTCCATGTTATCAACTCTCAGATACCGTTCCTTTCTACTAGACTATATGCCTATTCAACAGTAAATATTACAACTCCTCATATCACCTAAACTTCCTCTATCCAATCACTGAGTGTCTGTTTTCCTACGGTTTGTAAAGTTTGAAGAGAATTATCTATGCTAATTTTCCCATTCCTTCATTTGTGATAGCTGAACATAAGAGAGTTCCTCAAAGTACCGATCCCTAATTCTACGATTGCGAAAAAATTAAAATGATCAATATGAATATCTTCAGAAGAATTTTGACACCCACGGGTCTGTCTTTCAACCCCCATTAACAACCAATTTTGTGTGTAAAACAGTAAAGGTAGAGGAAAAATAGTGATGTGAAATTGAAAATGAAAGCAACCAAACTTACAGTGTATCACATAAAAAGTGATAATCTACAATCTGGAAGTTCGTGGATTGGAATGTGAGTATAAAGGGGTATCCAGTGAACCCGATCCCTCCATCCGGGCTTGATGACTGACCTTCGCCCGTTGTAGCAGATGTCATATGAAGGTGACGCGCAGAACCACCTCGTGATCGCGATCGTTCACGGAAGGGACCGGTACTGACCTGTCGTGGTATCTCTCGCGACGTTCGCACGGACACCGATCGATCGGGTTTGATATTTGGTCGGATGTAGAATGGATCGTCTGGATTCTCTTTGGTCTTCAATTCCGTCCTTTTGATCATATCTTCTTCTGGAAGTGCTTCGATTGTTACGGAAAGATCTTCGATTGGACTAATATCTTCAACCAGATACTTTTCTCTGAAAGCAAACGAGATAAATAAACTCTTCATGGTATTTGAGCACTAATCTCTAAACATACCAGATCTTTAGATATTTTCTTGCTTAATAACTTATGTCTCTATCGAAATTTCCGGTTACTCATCAACACTAAAATGAAGCGAAATCTGACAATTGTCCTATCGCGTATAATAGCTGTCCATTTCACATAATCCAATTGGCCATTTTTCACCAGTGATGAAACCAATTCCTCTTCCTACTCCTCCTAAATTTCTGGCTTCATCCACTTCTAACTGGCCAATACACTTGCCACTTGGTGTTCTAATTTGGAATGGCACATACATCATGAAGCCCTTAGGAGAATCACTAGTTTTATGGTGGTACTTTTAAGCCGAAATTGGCCTGTAGTTTAACGTAGGTTTTTCAAGAGTATATGAGGAGGAGAGGGTCAGTTTCAAAGCTTATGTGCAAAATTAAGGAATTCTACCGAAAACAGCAATCTGTAAAGCTATTAATTGTAGAAGAATGCAGTCCGAAAGGAAATAATGCGTCTACGTTGCCAGCAGAATCGATGTTCTTCACGCCCAAACGATTGAAAAGGACTTCTATGCCCAATTCGCGATTAGGTCTTCTAAAAAGACCTCTTTTAAAGCATGGCCCATTGTGGTACTAGACTTGTAATAGAAGGTGACATTGCTGCTTGAAACATGCTCAATACGTGTCCATATAGCCTTCGTCTGATACCACCAAGACTCATCACGTCAACGACATCAGTCTGCTGTGAGGCACGTATGAGTGCGGTTGGGTGCATTTTTCAAAAAAACAATTTGGGTGGTAAAGATTTAAGGGCATAATCAACTAAATTAGATCATTCCTTAATCTCACACAGCTGGAAAGATTTAGTTTAATATTAGTAGACTTGATTTAGTGAATCATGCTGCTCATTATAATTAATCATATGTTAAATAAATTTAAAAAAATTAAGCAATTAATCAAAATATTGGATTTGACGGTAAATTGAATAGTAAATGGAAATACGGCCAGCGTTTGCATTAATGGGGAACACTTCGTGCAGATGGGGAAATAATACGAAAGCTGCTAGTTTCCTTTGATTTCTAAACAAATAATGTTATTTAAACTATTGGCTGTAAAGCGATGTAGTTTTCAAATGGCAGGTTTTATGATATTTATCATTAGCCCTGTGTTGAGCGAGATAGGATCGAAAGAGTAAAAGACGGAAGCGAAATTAAAATTATTTAAATTCTGATATTTCCTCTAAATTTGGTAATCTTTTAACGAACATATTGCTAATACAGGATGCCTGCTTTTTATTTAAAAAAACACGTTGTTATTGCAGTTGGAGGTCCGCATATCTCAGGAATTCCCAGAAGATATTCGAATGTTTCGAAAATTAAACTAAATGTTTCCGAGGCTGTAAGGTCGTATATTTTTAACCTTGGGAAATATTTTCTGATGGCATGAAGTAACAACAGCAACAACAACAACATTTACAGAAGGCTAAAATGTTAATCGCAGTTCAGCCAACCGATCTAATATTAATCATATAAATGAATAAGACCATTCTCACAAATCACATTTACCAGTTAAGAAAAGCGATAAACAAATTCAATTTATTCTAACTTACCCTTTTCTCTTTGCAATAAGAAGAATATCACTGAAGAGGAATAATGTGACCTGAACAGGTTTATTTTTAATGGCCTCCGAAATTTTGCGCCTGAAAGCAGCATTTGGTAAATTGGATGTTTCTAATAGTTTGAGGTTTCCTTCCTTGTAGAGTTCTCGACTGCCCGTACCGACAGCCTTAACAGAGAGGGAAAAATATCGAGTAAAAATATTATTCTACTAAAATAATAAAGGTAGGTTGTGCTATTCACTTACTCTGATATTGCTCTTGAATTCCAGTTGGCTAGACAGTGTTACCAATCGCTCTTTCTGTTCCATGTGACCCTTCTGTGTGTTGCATTCTGAGATTAACTGGAAAAGACAATGGCAGTTGAATAACGGATGTATTAATGGGCGTGAGAATTAATCACGACCCAGTGTGAGAAATTGAAATTTTACCAAATAGCAAACGTTTCATACGCTACTTATGGTGCCGACAACGGAGCCTAAATTCATCTCGTTTATTAGATGATGGAAAAGCTGCAGAGACACTCATTCATCTCAACATCCGTAATTTATGAGATGGGTTATTAATCAGTATACGACTTGGAACAAAGTAACAAAGAAAGGAAGAATGAAATGAATAACCAAATATGTCTTTTTACTCATCTGATACATGTGCTTCCAATAACATGCACTTGTCTTTATCGACGGCTCAGGGACCATCTATTACGGAACAACTTAAATGATTTAAAGACAACTTGAGCATTCAACTCAAACACACATCAAAGGTAGTGTCAATATGAAAATTGACCCCAAATATTGGTTTTAATCTGTTTTCTGATAGTAAATAAGAAGTGTACAAAATTGAAATACCCGGGGAATACTTTATTTGGTCATTATACCAAAAATTTGAGTTCCCTTTTCTCAATCCAGGCGTTTCGTCCCCTCTCCTCCAAATCCCTTTATCCTACACGTGACCCCCCATAACTCCTGACCTTTTTCGGAAAAGCCATTTGCTTGCAAAATAATTCTTGATTGAAAATTCTAATATTATCATTATTATTTCAAATGACAGGCTTTATGATATTTATCAGGGGTGTGCGATAGACTTACCTCCACGTGGTGCACCCTGTCAAGTGGAATTATATTTTAACAGGGGAGATGCAATTATTGCAAGACTATTGAGAGTAACATTTCAAAGTAGTTTCAATAAGAACAATGGTGATGTTCCAGAATTTTCGATAATGACAGCATTTATTGTTAGCTGTCCAAATACAAATTCCTCTATCGAATAAGCGTCGGTAAATACTCTTTCTCTTATTGAAAAAAATAACCTTAAAGACCTTGTATTTTCCTGTTAAATTAAGTGGATTTTTATATCCTTCTGGTGGGGTGTGCGATAGACTTACCTCCACTTGGTGCACCTTGGGCAACGTATACTCATGCAGCAAAAAAATCAATAAACTGGCAGTTGACTTCTCACTTCAAACTACCATCACCCCACTGTATGTCATTGTCGACTCTTTCCACAGTGCTCACCTCATCTTTTTTCTACCTTTGTGTCTGTCTCTTTTACATCTTTAAAACACTCTTCTGTCCGCCCCCCTCTTGATGTTTTTCGATTTGATGTTCATCTCCCTCTGTGAAGCCTGAAATCAACTAAAGGGCTAATGATAACTATCATAAAGCCTGCCATTTGATAAAAATAAATAAATATCCTTGTGGTTATGGGGTAAAAAATGGAAAAAGTCGATCGCAAAGTATCCCAATCACTGACGTAGCTATTGTCTCTAGAGAATAGCAACCGGGTGTTTGGTAAATTCATGGAAATTCGAATATGGCCATTTCCCATTGATAGGAATCGTACAAAGCCACCTTTGTAGCAGGCTCCTTTATTCCCTCTTTGGGATGAATAACGTCTCTAAGTCATCTCCCATCTCTTCGAGCAGTGATTGTTGGGTCAATGAGTTCCACCTTCTTTCCAGACAATTCAACTGCAATCAAGTGATTTCTTCTGGTCTAATTTAACCTAAAGCTGGAAACGGAACTTTCTGGCATTGCAGTTGCATAGAGACTCCACCCCTCTCAATACTTG